GGCGATATGCTGACTCTGTAAACCGCTTAGAGAGGGCTGAAAGCCCTATGAAGCGGTATATAAGTCTAACTGCTATTGCTATTGCTATTTTTGCAGTATCTCTCAAGAGACTTTCCCTCTTCTCCATAGGGCCGTTTTAGTAAAGACACCTAAGGGGAAGCTCTAGCCCCTGATGATTACATGCAAATCTTCCCATAGCCTTCTATGGGCAGGATATGAAATTGGATGTTTCAATTTTGCTTGGATTTCCTGAGGGCGTGTTATCTACGTCCGATACCGTTTCAATGCGAAATTCACAGCAGGTGGAGGAGATGCTCCTTTTACTGCGACGAAGGGGAAGACAACTATTGTCAAGCAGACAGACCTACAGAAAATTTCTGTTAGGTGGAGGTAAATTCTGTTATTGAAACAGGAGACAGTCACAGCAAAGGAAAGCGAGAGGCGTTTTGTTTGTTTTTTTAAACCTGTTTCTTTGCAAAAGGAGGTTTCCGCTGGGAAAGCCAGTATATAGCTGTGGCTGGGAAGATCGGGGCAAAGTCCAAACTTTACTTCCTCAAGCACCTAACTGCTCCCGAGCAGACCTTGGGCATCTGCTCCCATGTTTCCCAGGATTAAAACAGGATCCGCCCAATTATCGCCGTTTGCCATAGCTTCCAGGTCAGCGGGAAGGCGTCCATAGCATTCGGGAACACTTGGAGAAGGAAGAGGGAGGAATCGCTATAGGAAGAAGCATTCTCTGGTTTCTACATTAAATCCCTAGCGGCGGGTCCTTCGGTGGAGGGAGGGAGGTTCAGCTTACGGGCTGTGCTGGGAAGGCAGCGGCGCTGGAGGAGCTGCGAGGAAGGCGTTGCGCGGATCCTGCCCTGCGCGCCTCTCTCGAAGAACGGAGTCCGGGCGAGGGGCAGAGCCGCCTTTCCCTCCGGGCGAGGAGGTAAAAAGCTTTCAGTTTCCTTTCCCTTCGGGTAGAGGGAAAGTTCTTGGCAATGTGACTTTTAAATGCTGTTTTTTTGGGGCCTCTCATAAGATTGTTCTTATACGATAAGATTGTTCCTGCAGTCAACACTTTCTCCTGGAATAGTTTGCCTCCCAGAGTTGCGGGTGCCGCAGTCACTGGAGGCTTTCAAAAATAAACCGGATAGTCATTTGACCTGGATGGTATAAGGTCTTCTACCTTGAGCAGGAGGTTGGACTAGAAGATCTCGGAGGTCCCTTCCAGTCCTAGGATTCTATCTTCAATTATCATTTCCCATGGAATTTTCTCTGGTGCTGTGTCAGGTCCAGAAACCTTGGATTTAAATGGCTGTTGCCCACTTTCTCCTGGAATAGTTTGCTTCCAGGAGTTTGGATGTCCTAACTAGACACAAGGACAGCCTCCCCCTCCCAATGCCATCACTCTGCTAAATAATTAATTTCCACAACACTGTCAAACTATTTACTAAGATCATATTAGTATTATTTTCATTCTTCCTATTACCTATCTCCTCCCTCTTATGACTATAACCTTGTTGCTTGTATCTTTACAGTTTATATTGTTCTATTTAGTTTCCTAGTATGATTTGATTGCTTATATAGTGTCCTATGACTATCACAAAGCGTTATATCTTATGATTCTTGATGAATGTATTTTATTTCCATATGTACACTGAGAGCATATGCACCAAAGGCAAATTCCTTATGTTTCCAATCACACTTGGCCAATAAAGAATTCCATTCTAATCACTGAAGGTTTTCAAAAATAGACCAGACCACCATTTGATGGGGAAGGTATAAGGTCTTCCACCTTCAGCAGGGGGTTGGACTAGAAAACCTCAGAGGTCCCTTCCAGTCCTAGGATTCTATGTTCTATGATCATTTCCCTTGAAATTTTCTCTGGTGCTGTGTCAGGTCCAGAAGACTTTGATTTAAATGATTGCTGACTTCCCCTGGAATCCTAGGAATTCCTTGAGCCATCCTGTATCGCCCCATTGTTGCTTCCCTGATGCTAGATTGTCATGAATCCTGTGGGAGGAGTGGGGATCCCAGAAATGAAACCATTCTGAGTGCCTGCCAGAGACATCTTCCTGCTTACCTCAAGGCCACAAGCATGGGAATGGAATGCAAACAATGGCCAAACATCAGAACTGTTACCAAAACAATTTGTTTCAATCTAATGGGACCCCCAGGGAGATAATGGGATGGGGAAGAGTTTGGGAGAGGGGAAAGTAAGCGGGCAATAAAACTCAGATCTGGCTTTCTCCTATCTTGCAACTGCTTGGCTTTAGTAAAAAAATAAACCTTCCGCTACGAAGGCAGTTGAAGGCTCTTCCTTCTTCTTGTCCTGTTCCAAGTCCAGATAAGTCTAACAGGGGCATGATCCCTCCTTGGAGCCATTGTTTGGGGAAGTCTCTCAGGAGGATCTGCCTCAGAAGAGATAATGGGTCCTTCTGATGTCCTTTAATACTCATGATTGAATTTGCCCGTGTTTCATTCATGAGCTCCCCTTCATTTTTTAATGTACTTGTTTTAATATCATCACTCAAGAAAGATTGACTGATTCATTAATCAAGGAGAAAAGCAAGCTGGAATTAAGGAGGAATTTCCTAATAGTGAGAACAAATAACCAACGGGACTGCTTGCCTTCAGAAATTGTAGGTGCTTCATCACTGGAGGTTTTTAAGAAGAGACTGGAAAGATATAAGGTCTCCTGCTTGAGCAGCGGGTTGGGCTACTAAAAAACATCCAGGGTCCCTTCCAGCTTTCTATTCTGACTCCAGAGTGTTGTGGCAGTGTGTATTTGTCCCTTTCCTGTAGACCAATGTTTCTCAACCTTGGCCATTTTAAGATGTATGGACTTCAACTCCCATAATTCCCCAACCAACTTGATTGAATAGGGAATTCTAGTCCATACATCTTAAAATGGCCAAGGCTTAGAAACACTGCTGTAGACTGTTCCAAAGGGCAAGTCCCACCTGTAAAAAAAAAGTTTTTGTTGTCTTCCCTGATTATCTGACAGAGAGGATAAAATCTCAGCATAACTCCATGGGATGCGGGGTGGGATCTGCTTGAGAAATCTGGAGTCAAGCTACATGAGGTGCTTTAATGCATACATTCATGTCTGAGAGAGATGATTCTGAGTCTAATCCCTGGTCCTTCCACAGCTTTCAATTTTCCTCTTGTCCAAAGTTAGCCGCTTCTGTGTATTGTTACTGTGGCTGCAAACAATTCAGATAAAATGAATCCCTAGTTACCATAGAAATAGGCCAGATTAGAATCACCCTTCTGCACTGTAGGTTCAAGAATATCATTAGGGCATTTGATAGCAAATTATTCCTTTGCTGATTTTTTTTCTACTGGTAGACACTATACAGGTAGTCCTCGACTTATGACCACATTTATTAAATGAGTCATTTGTTAAGTGAGTTTTGCCACATTTGACAACATTTCTGGCTACATTTGTTAAGTGAATCCTTGTAGTTGTTAAGTTAGTGACACGGTTGTTAAGAGATCCTGGCTTTCCTATTGAATTTGTTTGTCAGAAGGTTTAAAACAGTGACACCCCCACCCCCAGGACACTACAATCATCATAAATTTGAGTCAGTTATCAAGCATCAGAATTTCGATCACACGAACATGGGGCTGCTGCAAAAATTGTTAATACCACATTTATAATGCCACACTTGCATTACTGCAAGCAGTTTTCATTGGCACAATGTAAAAAAAGATGTTGAGATGCTAGAAAAAGTGCATAGAAGAGCAAAAAAGGATTAGGAGACTGGAAGCTAAAACATATAAAGAGCAGTTGCTGGAATTAGGTATGTCTAGTTTAATGAAAAGAAGGACAAGGGGTGACATGATAGCACTTTTCCAATATCTCAGGGGTTGCCAAAAAAGAAGAGGGAGTCAAGCTATTCTCCAAAGCACCTGAAGGCAAGACAAGAAGCAATGGATGGAAACTAATCAAGAAGAGAACCAACCTAGAACTAAGGAGAAATTTCCTGACAATGAGAATAATTAATCAGTGGAACAGCTTTTCTCCAGAACTTGTGGGTGTTCCATCATAGGAGGCTTTTAAGAAGAGACTAGACAGCCATTTGACTGAAATGGTATAGGGCTTCCTGCCTGAGCAAGGGGTTGGACTGGAAGACTTCTAAGTTCCCTTCCAACCCTGTTATTCTATTGTTAATTCAAATATGAAAAATGGTCAAAAACAACTTTTTTCATTTTTATTCTAAGTTCAGTCACTAAATGAACTGTTGTAAGTCAGGGTCTACTTTACTTAACTAAGGTGTATTCTTATCCTTGCACTTTGGCTTTGCACTTTGTTTATTCCTTTGGAAAGATTCTTCAAAGAAGATGCTTATTTCCCTTATTATAAATTTTGCTGGCTGTTTTGTTCATCATGAAGAAAATGTGCATATACTTTATTGAATTTTCTTTAATAGGAATGTTCATTAAATGTTTTCTTTCTGTTTCAGGACTTGGTACTTCTCAAAGATATAGCTGTTTTTTTCTCCATGGAAGAGTGGGCCCTGCTGGATTGTGAGCAGAAAGCCCTACACTGAGTGGTCATAATGGAAAACGCAAGGAATATGGTTAGTTCTTAACTGCATTTTTATTTCCATGTGGTCTGTGAAGTGGGCTAATCCATCCACATTGCCTCCAGGAGGAGAAAGTTCTTTTCCCATGCAGTTTCTCATCTCAGTCTTGTGATCCTGTCTGTTTCCTTTCATAGATAGTGGAGTTGCTGCTGTGAGACCTCCCCCAGTCCGATCTCTTAGGAAAGAAAGACCCTCAACTCCATTTAATTGAAGGGATAGGTTCTTTTAGTAGAAGGTATTGGTTGCAATAGATTCAGGCTAGAACTATATTTCCTGCACTTGAAAAATACAAATTGCAGCCCTCTTCCCAAGACCATGTATTCAACCAATAAGCGATTCACTTAGGTGTTTTGAGAACGATGAGATGTTTTGGGCCATCCACATTTTTTTTCAGAGTGCATGGCTTTGAGTGCTGGAACAAACTGGCTTGAAGCTCCTCTGTTCCTCAGATATCATTTCCTCCCTCCCTATTTCCCATCACCTACACATGCAGGTTGATTGCCTATTTGTGTCCCTCCCTCATGTCTCCCTCATCGTGACCTGACAAAAGGGCGAATGACAAATCCGCGCCCGACTAAACCACATTGCTAAAACCGCGATGTCATCAACGCGGCGACAACAGCGCGGAGATAGAAGGGCGCTTTACAACAGCGCGTCGACAGAAAGCCGCTTTAACTTAAGGTAAGGGTTAGGTTTAGGGTTAGGTTTAGGGTTAGG